CCTGGAGCATGCTCGGCGCGCAGGCGTGGAGGACTGGTCTGCGGTGTACTTCGAACGGAAGTGGCGGTGGGCATCCCGCGTCGCAACCCACGACTACGACAGATGGGCGCGGCTCTCACTACGCTGGACCCCGAACACCCACGACCCACGCCCAACCCTACGACGCCAAGGAGCACAACGGAAAGCATGGGATGCCGACGTCACACGTCGTACGCACACTCACTACCTACGTACGACGGTGACGACGACCACAAAACGTGGAGGCGCATTGCGACGGACAAGGAAGCATGGTTGGCTCTGGAGCCGGAATTTCTGGCTTGTGTCAATTGTGGGGACTCTGTGCGAAACTCCATGAACACGGCCTGCGTCCCCCCCTCCTCCCCCCTCCCCCCTCGATGAGCATTTTTCTCGGCGCTCTGGCGCCACCGCCGCGCCCTCGCAGGGCCGCCCTCGCCGGGACGACCGACCGGCGCCTCGCCTCGCCTCGCCTCGCCTTCCCCCTCCTCTCCGCCCTGGGGTCGGTAGTGCAGCCTCCGCCCTTGTGTTTGCGCTTGCGCGGATGGGGTCCCAACGGGGTCCTATCGACCAGGCCGGCCACGCCTGGAGCCCTCCGGAGTTTCCCCATGCCTTCTCTGCCCTGCGCGTGCGTGCAGCGTGCGAGGAGGCCGCTGTCCTGGAGGAGCAGGAGAGACGGCGCAGCTTCGGCGCGGACAAACCAGCCATGGATCTCATGTCCAGGCACTCCTCGGGTTGGAGTGATCATTGTAGTAACGCTGCTGGCGATGCCAGATTGCTAACACGTGCTGACGCCAACGGCGCTGCGCCCGTAGTCGCATCGGCGTCGTTCCTCTCCGCGTCTCTCTGCCGCGAGAGCTCTAGTAAGGTCTTCCATCGTTGGGCTTGTTGTCCTGCTTGCGCTCCGTGGAGGCGCCGCTTCTTGGGAGCTGGACCATCCTCCTCCCTTCCGCGCACGCGCGGAGGAGCGGTTGGGCCGCCACTGCCGCCCGACGCCGCCGACGCCGCCGCCTCGGTTCGCGGATCAGAAGCTTGGCATCGCTGGGCCGTGGGCAGGTTCCTTGGGCGCGGGCAGTTGGGCTCTGGACCATCCTACTACCCTCGTCAAAATTAACCTCAACAGTTGCTGGCACGTCATTTCGATTTCGGCGCGCCCGTCAATGTCGACACGCCGCCCCTCGCACTCATCGATACTCGGCCCCAGATCTTCCGACAAGCAGTTCAACCACGTCAGACATTTTTGAGGTTAATTTTGACGAGGGTTGTAGAGCATCTTGGAACACCCTGGGAATCAAAGGCACGCGCGAAAGGACGCCCGAGCGACAGCGACCTCAGCGGTGTCTGGGCGACTTCGTGGGCCGTCTCCGCTCCGGCTTCGCTCTGCAGCAGCGGCGGATGGAAGGCACGCTGAGGGAAGGCGACAACAACACGAAGACGCAACAAAAACACTGTCTTGGTTTAAGTCGGGCCTGTCCCTCTACAGGAGAAAGATCCAAAAATAGTAAAAGGTACTCTGGGGACTGCTTCTGGAGTATTCCTTGATCATTCTGGAGTATTTTTGGAGTACTTTCTACTCTTCGTCGAAAATCCCCCTGTAGGGGGACACGCCCGACTTAAGTCTAGGTCTACCCCTGCCGAGCGAGGGCCCCCCCGAACAGGAACAACAACAAACAAACAAACAAACAAACAAACAAACAACAACAGGAACAACAAACAAACAACAACAACAAACAAACAAACAAACAAACAACAAACAAACAACAAACAAACAACAACAGGAACAGTAACAACAACAAACAAACAAAAAAAACGCCGCTGGCAGTGGCGGCCCCTGCCCGGCCCGGCGAACGAGCGGTGCGAGGAGCGCGGGCCTCGGCCGTGGCCCCGCGCGCGCGGGGGGGGGGGAAGGCCCGCGGCCACCGCCGTGCGGGCCGCGGCGGCGGCCGTGGCCGCCAGCCTCTCCGGGTTCGGGTCGGGCGTGTCCCTCCACAGGAGGAGTATCCCAAAGCAGCAGAAAACAGTCCGCGGACGTTTTTTTTTTTTTTTGTGTGTGTGTGTGTGTGTGCGTGTGTGTGTGTGTGTGTGTGTGTGTGTGTGTGTGTCTGCGTGTGTGTGTGTGTGTGTGTGTGTGTAGATTTTTGCTGTTTATGATTCTGTTTCGACTATGTTTCAATTTCTTGTCCAGGATCCGCCAGTAGGAGGACATGCCCGACCTAGTCTTAGGTACGAGGGGAGCGGCCGTCGTCGTCGCCGCCGTTGCCCTCCCTCCATCTGCTGGGGGTGCCTTCGGAGAAAACAACGCTATAAACATAAACCGTTGGTGCTCCGCGCAGAGATTTCTTGGATCCGCGCTGCACCCCCCCGGCGGCGCCTCCGGCGTCGCCCCTGGCGCGCGGAGCGCGACAGGGGCGGGGTGGGCAGCGCGGATCCAAGAAATCTGCGCGGAGCGCCAACACTTTATGTTTATGCCGTTTCTCTTTTTGGGAGGGTATGTGTCAGGGCGCCAACATCTCAGAGCGGATTTCGCTCGGAACACATTTGGGTGGACCCTGATTGTCCTGGAGAGTTTCGCTCTGGATTTCAAAGTGGACTTCGTGTGGAGTTGTGCCAGGAATGAAATCCGTGTGAAGTTCGTCCCTGGCGCCCCGTGCGTCGGCTCAGCCCGGCACCGCCAGGCTTGGTGGCGCGGGGGGTGCCGCACCCCTGTTGGCCCCTCATACCGCGGCTGCGCGCAGCGTAAGAGTGACCCTCCGCCGGAGGAGGAGGAGGAGGAGGAGGAGGAGGAGGAGGAGGAGGAGGAGGAGGAGAGGAGGAGGAGGAGAGGAGGAGGAGGAGGGAGGAGGAGGAGGAGGAGGAGGAGGAGGGAGGAGGAGAGGAGGAGGGGAGGAGGAGGAGGGGAGGAGGGAGGAGGGAGGAGGAGGGAGGGGAGGGAGGAGGGAGGAGGGAGGAGGGAGGAGGAGGAGGAGGAGGAGGAGGAGGAGGAGGAGGAGGTGGAGGAGGAGGAGGAGGAGGAGGAGGAGGAGGAGGAGGAGGAGGAGGAGGAGGAGGAGGGGGAGGCCTCAGATGGCGAGGCGGGCGCCACCCGGGGCCCCAGATGGCGGGCAGGCGCGGGGCGGCAGCGGCCTGCGCGCTCGGGTCTGGCCGCCCTCTTCGCTCCCCCCAAACATCAGGAGGGGAAGAAACACACAGACACATCGGCAACACCCCAACATACTTATACTATATGTGCGTCGCCCCCCCAGGGGCGACGCGCGCACCGAGAAATCTTATAGTAAATGCGTCGTGGCGGGCGCTTTCTGGCCACACCGCTCGGGAAACGATATACTACAAGATGGGTATACTATATGTTCGGGTCGGACGCGCGCCTCCAAGGAGGACATATAGTATTAGTATGTCCATGTGCGTCCCAACACAATTAATCGTCGACTCCCAGGAAGATATCGGAAAATATGGGAAATGGGGGGGGAGACGAAACTTCAGAAACTGTGGACAAATATGGGGGATCCCTCTATTTGCGTGTATTTATTTGTGTGTCCCAGGGCCCCTTCAAACAGCCGCTCACCGGAGGTCACTCTTTGCCCGGGGTCACTCCTGCGTGTAGCCTTAAGTCGGGCCGGTTCTCTCTACAGGGGGAGCATCCAAAAATAGGGAAAAAATAGTCGGGGGATTATTTTGTGAGTATTTTCGGGCATCTGTTGAGTATTTTTGGAGTGTTTTCTATTTTGTATTTTTAATTTTTCGTCGAAAATCCCCCTGTAGGGTGACACGCCCGACTTAAGTGTAGCCGAGAGTGGGTTCAGACCTCCCGGATGGGGTCCGAGTGGACGGGGTTGGAGGATCGCGCCGCATGGCCGATGCATCGGCGATGCGCAGCGATGTGGAGCCCGATTTTCTCCACGCCGACGGCGCCGATGCATCGGCGATACCTTGGCGATGCGGCGCGATCCTCCGACTCCATCTACTCGGATTTCATTTGGGAAGGCCTCCCAGAGTGGGGACGAAGACTGACAGCAGATCGTGCAGGACTCGCTGTCGGTGTCGCCGCAGAGGCCGTCTGTTTGAGACACGAGGTTGCCTGCCCAGCAACGGCCGCTGTTGGTTTTGAACAACATCTGCTGTTGGGCATCGTGCCCACTTTCTCCGTGCCCATGTCGGGCGTTCCACCCCCCCGTCACCGCTCGAGGGTCGAGGGCAGCGCTGTTCTTGTGCGTCTTCCGCCATCCTGTGGGGGGGTGGGCCTTCGGGAGGCCTCTCGTCGCCACCGCCAGATCCACCTCGAGATTCTGGCTAGACCGCCCCCAGGGCGAGCTCTGGGAGCAGATTTCTGAGAGGAGCGGGAGGATGAGGAAGAGGATGATGCTAATGCTGATGCTGATGCTGATGCTGATGCTGCTGCTGCTGCTGATGATGATGATGCTGATGATGATGATGATGATGATGATGCTGATGATGCTGATGATGATGATGATGATGATGATGATGATGATGCTGATAATGATGATGATGATGATGATGATGATGATGCTGCTGATGATGATGATGATGCTGATGCTGCTGATGATGATGATGCTGATGATGATGCTGATGCTGATGATGATGATGCTGATGTTGATGATGCTGATGTTGCTGATGATGATGGTGATGATGATGATGCTGATGATGATGATGCCGATGATGATGATGATGATGATGATGATGATGATGATGATGATGATGATGATGATGATGATGATGATGATGCTAACGCTGATGCTGCTGCTGATGCTGATGCTGATGATGATGATGAAGATGATGCTGATCATGATGATGGTCATGCTCAATTGATTCACAAAACAGCTTGCCGCTTGGGCCCCACCGCCAGGCCAAGCGGCGAGCATAAATCGGGCGTAGCCCCGCACGCATTCGAATGCCCACACTTCGTCCTCGTACTACTCGTATTCCTCCTCGTCCTCCCCCCCATCCTGATCGTCGTCGTCGTCCTCCTCCTCGTCCTCCTCCTGATCCTCCTCGTCTTCCTCGTTTTCCTCCTGCTCCAGTTTCTCCTCGTCCTCCTCGTCTAGGACCTCGTCCTCGTTTCTCCTCTTCCTCTGCTCATCCTCCTTCTCCTGGCAGAGGTCCGTCGACGTGATGTGGACGCGAAAACAGCGCGGAGCGCGTGGATCTTGCCCAGGGCCCAAGTCGCACAGATCGTTGAGAGATCGGCCGTGGCAGCTGCCACCGATGACGCCAGGCGCTGAAATCTGAAGTGGTGCAGCGAGTCGATGGAAGATACAACCTTGTCGTGGATGCTTTCAGCATCACGCCTTGCGCAGACTAGGGTAGGAGCTCTGGCGTTCCAATAGTTTTAGCGTTGGAGTGTTTTTTTTTCACGCGTTGCGCAACTAGTTACACACAAGGTTATCCGTGCCCCCGCCTTGCACTGCTCTCCTCGCTTAATTGGGAGCATGTCGGCGCGAACTTAGAGCGTAAACAAAAAAAAACCTTGTCGTGGATGCTTTGCCCGCACGGAGCGCTGCGTGACCCCCATAATTTCTCTTTGGTGTCGGCGGCAGAGGCTAAAGCTTGCGCCCTTGGTTGCGCCATAGGTTGCGCCCCGGGCGGCTGAGAATAGAACCATCTCCGATCGGATTCGCCATAGGTTGCGCCGCGCGTAGCCGATGGCACAACGATGCAGACTGTCGAGCGCCGCTTCGGGGGGCCCAGCGAGAGTTTTTGCACCCGCCCCCCGGTGCCCATTCCGCCAGTTGCAACCTACCTTTCTTCAAGGGGGGAGTTGGCGGGGCTGCAAAACGGCACCCCGCCAGCAGGCCTGCAATTCCCTTGGCGTTCCTTTTGCGGCAGGTTTGCTGGCCCCTGCCCCGCGGACGTAAGAGGCGTTTCTTTCCTGCGACGTGCTCCGTTTTTTTTTTTGGGGGGGGGGGGAATTTCCCGCCTCTTGGCCATATCGCTTCTGCCTCATCCTCTGAATGGCCTTTCCCTTTTCCTAAGCAAGACGATCGGGGGGGGGGGCCCAGGCTCGATAAACAGGGCGCCCGTTGGCCGGAAATCGTGGGGGGGGGGTAGGGTTCACATGTGGCCACCAATCGGAGGCGACGATGCGGGCGACCAGTCCAGGGAGCAGGCAGCGCACGCAGCGGTTGGGCAGCCTCGTCGAAGAGGTGGACCGTCGGCGTCGCCACGGGGGAAGCGGATCCCGAGGGAATCGGTGGCCCTGAGACGGGGGTCGATCCAAACGGGGGTCAGCCAGAGCGTCGGATCCCGCTGGATCTGCAGAGCCAGGGCTGCCTCGACCCAGGTTGAGATGCAGGATCAGGCAGGATCCTGCCAGGCCCGACTGGCCCGGGTCTGGACTGACCCCGGTCAGCAGCTCCCCGAGGGCAACGTGCCCCCAGGTTTTTCGCCGTTTTCGAGTTATTCTCAGGAGGGACAAAACACAGAGACACAATTAATCGTCGACTCCCAGGAAAATACGGGAAAATATGGGACATGGGCGGGAAGACAAAAACCCTGGAGATATGGAACAAATAGGGGGAATCCTTTTGATTTGTGTGTATTTCTTTGTGTGTCCTCGGGCCCCTCGATATTCGGGGCCCCCCGCGGGCCCCCGGACTGCCAGAGCTCGATCCGGGTGGCAGGAAGGGGTCCTGGGGGAAGGCCTGGGGGCCCAGGACCCGCTTCCCTCGGGACCCGCCGCCCCCCATGGCCAAGCGTGCGTGGCTCCCTTCCGGGCTCTTCGCCCCGGTCGTCGCTTCCGAGCCGAGAGGGGCCGATGCCTTCGTTGCCTCGGCACGCCCGTCTTGAGACGCTGCACGTACCGTGCTTGCAACGTCCGTGCCCATACGTTGCGTGTTGGCTCCTCGTGTTGGCCCACGTTTTGGCGAGCGTAGCGCGTCAGGCCTGCGGGCCCAGCCGACGTATCGAGCTCCGCATCGGCACGCTGCGCGTGGCGTGCTGTGCGTATCGGGGCAGCTCGGGCCGATGCCTTGCTCGGCGGCTGCGGCGGCGTGTGCCCGAGGCTGGCGCGCGGGGGCCGCGGCTCCGGCTCCGTGTACACGCGCGGCTCCGCGGGGGGGGGCCGCCGCGGGGCCGCGCGCGCGGGGGAGCCGCCGGGCGTAGCGTGGCCAGGCGTCGGAGGAGGACTCGGCGTCGGAGGAGGACTCGGCGTACACTCGGGGCGCTGAAGAAGGAACCCTTTTCGATGGGGAGGGGCTTGGTGTTCCTTGATTGTTTTACAGTTTGCCTAGGGTTTTCCTGAGGTTTTTCATGGGCAATCGAAGTTTACCTTTTGGAAAAAGGGGCCTCGTTCCTTGTTTAGGGTTCCTTAGGTCAACGCCCCGACTGTACAGTCGGCCCAGACTGTCAGGGCGATCCTGCCTGATCAAGGGCAGCCTTCTGTCCTGTGCCTCTCGACCCATGCCCTCTTGCATTCCTGTGGCAGTGGTGGCCCCCAGAAGGGTCTCGTGTCCTCTCGCGTGACCTCTCCAGTCAAGTCCGACTGTACTGTACGGCAGGTTCGTGTCGTGCCGACCCCGGCATTGGTTCCTGACACCGCGGGGATCGTTCCACCTTGAACGATCGGCCGTTCCCGAAACGTCCGATAGTTCAACATCGGCCGATTCTGGGTTGCTGGCGGTGTTCAACATTGAACGCTGGCGGCGGGGTCGCCGCTGGTTGGCACGACGCGGTCGGCAAGGGCGTCGCGCACGCTCGGAAACTTTATAGTATAAGTGTTTCTGGTGGGTGTTTTGTGGTCATGCCGCTCAGGAAACGATGCACTAACAAGATGTTACTACATGTTGGGGTCGGACGTGCGTCTTCAACAGGGGCACATCGTACAAGCATGTCCGGTTGCGTCTCAGAGAAGAGGGACGACAGGTTCGCGTCGTGCCGATGCGGCGGCGACCTCGGCGCGGGCGTTCACAGTTGAGTGCCGCCGGTTGCCCAGAATCAGCCGATCTCTAGCGATCTCCGCTATCGGAGAGTCGCGATTGTTCAAGTTTGAGCGATCTACGCGGTGGCAGAAGCTGAGGTTCTGATACGGCTACGGAATCGGTATCGGTACCTTTTCGTCCTCTGAAGCAGTATTGGTTGCGGTGTCGTTCGTGGTAGCGGTAGCGGTAGCGGTAGCGGTATCGGCCCAACAGGCGCATCGTATGTTTGGCTCGATTTCGCCTCTTTTTGGCCTTCTGGGAGGCCCTCGTCGCCACGGCTGGATTCGTCTGGAGATTCTAGGCATTGCGCACCCGGGAAGAGGTCTGGAGATTCGCGGTATCGGGACCTCGTTGTTCCTCCATTGTGGCCAGGCTGGCCGTACCCCCCCGACCTCTGGCGTTGCACTCTTTGTTCTTCGCTCTTGCAATCCAACCGTTGTTCTTGCATTTTGGCTGGGGCCGTTGCGGGGCCCCAGGGCCACCGTGACATTGATCCAGGACGAAGAACGGTCCCCGGGTGTGCGTCGAGACCCGGGGAATCCAAGAGGCACCGATACCGGTACTCCTCGGGCCTCTCCAGGGGTGCGTTCTAACCAGGATTTCGAGGCGAGTCCAGCGGTGGCGACGAGGGCCTCCCAGAAGGCCCCAAAAGGGGGAACGCGAGGGAAGGGTAGTGGCATGGGTAGCTCTTCCTCCCCGGAATACCTCTGGGGCCCGCGAATAGAAAAATCACACCTTCGGATGTATGTGCTCAGGTTGGTGGGCCTGTTTTCTACCACCACCACCAGCATAAGTTGGAGGGGGAAGGAGGTGGAGGAGGAGGAGGAGGAGGAAGAGGAGGAGAAGGAGGAGGAGGAGGATGATGAGGAGGAGGAGGAGGACCCCCTCTCCCTTCAACTTCTGGTGGTGGTGGTGGAAAACAGGCCCATCACAGGTGAGCTGTGCCCCTTACCCACTTAGGGGGCCCAGCGTGTGCCGACGGCTTCTCGAGAGGGGCGTCGGAGCCCGAGGGTCCCCTGAGGGGACTGAGGACCACAGCTCCCTCAGGTGTGGCTGGTCTGGCCCTGCGACCATATGGGAGGAGGAGGAGGAGGAGGAGGAGGAGGAGGAGGAGGAGGAGGAGGCGAGGGGAGGAGGGGAGTAAGGAGGAGGAGGAGGAGGAAGGAGGAGAAGGGAGGAGGGGAGGAGGAGGAGGAGCAGGAGGAGGAGGAGGAGGAGGAGGAGGATGGAGGAGGAGGAGGAGGAGGAGGAGGGGGCGGAGCAGGCGCAGGAGCAGGAGCTAGAGGAGCAGGTGGAGCAGGAGGAGCAGAAGAGAGGGGGAGGAGGGGGAGGAGGGTGAGGAGGGGGGAGGGGGGACGGGGAGGTGGAGGAGGAGGAGGAGGAGGAGGAGGAGGAGAGGAGGAGGAGGAGGTCCGGCTCGGCGGAGGAGCAGGAGGAGGGGAGGAGGGAGGAGGAGGAGGGGAGGAGGAGGAGGAGGAGGAGGAGGATGAGGAAGGAGGAGGAGGGGGAGCAGGAGCAGGAGCAGGAGCAGGAGGAGGAGGAGGAGGAGGAGGAGGGATGAGGAGGTTGGAGGAGTGAGGAGGAGGAGGAAGGAGGAGGAGGAGGAGGAGGAGGAGGAGGAGTGAGGCGGGGGAGGAGCTGGAAGCAGGAGGAGGAGGAGAGGAGGAGGCGGCGGGGAGGAGGGGGAGGAGGGGGAGGAGGGGGAGGAGGAGCGGGGGAGGAGGGGGAGGAGGAGGAGGAGGAGGAGGAGGAGGAGGAGGAGGAGGAGGAGGAGGAGGAGGAGGAGCAGGAGGAGCAGGAGGAGCAGGAGGAGGAGGGGGGCGCCAATCCCTGGTGTTCAATCGATGCTGGGTTATACCCCTGCAGGAGTTCAGTCGGCTACACACGTCTTTCATACCCTGAGCCCTCGCCGGTGTTTCTGAAAGCAGGGGGAGGTATCCCATGTGGTTCCCTACGCAGCGGAATATTCCGCCAGTGAGAACTTCTGGCGAGACCTCAGCGACGGTGACGGCGAGGGCGGAGGCGACCACGACGCCACCAGCGACAGCGGCAGCGACGGCGACGGCGACGGTGGCAACGGCGGTGACGTCGGCGAGGACGCTGGCGCCTGCGAGGGCGCCGACGATGACGCCGACGACGGCCCCCGCGGCGACGAGGAGGATGACGATGACGACGCTGGCGACGGTGGGAGCGGCGACGACGTCGACGGCGGCGACGGCGAGAGCGGCGACGGCAGCCACCGTGGGGGCAACGGGCGTGTGGCCGGAGCGCCCGCGCTCGGCGCGGGGGCGGTGCGCCGGAGCGCACGCGGAGGGCTGCTGGAGCGCCCTTCGCACCCCCGCGCGGGGAGAATGCAGCGCTGGAGTGGTCGCCGTGGGCTGCTGGAACTCGTCCTCCTCCTCCTCCTCCTCCTCCTCCTCCTCGTCCTCGTCCTCCTCCTCTTCCTCCTCCCTTTGTATAGGGCGCTGCCACAAAACAGTAAAGGGTACTGGGGGGGGGCTTGGGGAGAGCGAGGTCGGATCTTACCCTGGGGCACTTGTAGATATTCACACATGCCCCTCGGAAGCAATCGACTAAGGCTGCAAATTGCCTGGTGCAAGAACTTATACGCACATTAAGCACAGGGGCACGGCGCTCCTCTCCTCTCCACTCCTCTCCTCCCCCCTCCTCCTCCTCCTCCCCTCTTCTCGCCTTTCCTCTCCTTCCTCCCCTCTCCTCTCCTCTCTTCCCATTATCATCCTCCTCCTTCTCCTTCGGCGCCCCCCCGTCTCTCTTCCCATCCTCCCACCACCTGCCATCCCATCTTCATTCAGTTGACGCTTTGGGTCGTAGTCTGACCCTGCTGTTTTTATTGATATTGGCGTGCCTCCCGATCTCACGTCTCGTCCTACTATTCGTTCGCGTTCGTACCTGCTCTGTCTGCCCCGTCTCCTCCAGCTTCGCTGTCATCGCGGCGTCTTTGCCCCATCCACCCCCAACCTAGCTCACGAGGGACGACAGCGACGACCAGGGCGACTGCGGCGGCATCGTCAGCGGCAGCGCAGGGACGACAGGAGAGAGGAAGGAGAGAGGAAGGAGAAGAGGGGGGGGCGACAGCGACGACGAGGGAAACTGCGGCGGCATCGTCGGCGACAGCGCAGGCACGAGAGGAGAGGGGAAGGAGAGAGGAAGGAGAAGAGGGGAGGGGAGGGGCGGGCAGGGGAGGAGGGGGAGAGAGGAAGGAGGAAATGGGCGAGTGAGGGATGGGCGGGTGGGCGGATCAAGGGCGGAGAGTGGGCGAGAGAGGGGCGGGTAAGATGCTGAGAAGACAGCCAGCAATGGCTTGTCACAAAGTGCTCACTGGACCCCTCGAGCGTCGCCCAGGCCAGCGCCTCGAGCCTCCGAACTGCTCAGCTCGAACGAGACGGGCGGCCCAGGCGCCCCAGAAAAAAAAACGGGAGCGGAGCCGCAGAGCTCTCTCCTGGCCACCGAGTCGGTGGTGTTCGCATTGTCGCATCTATCGTCGTCGCTGTTCGTAGGTCGCTCGTCCTCCTTCCTATCCTCGTCCTCTCGACTGTGATCTGAGAACCCTCGAGCTCCGAACTCCCAATCCCCGATCTATTGCAGCGCCTGCGAGCCCTTCTTCTTAAGGGTCGGCCTGTCGCTTGCAGGGGCAGCTGTCGACTTCGACGGGCCAGCACTGCCTCCTGCGATACTCGAGAAGTCGGTACCACCAACACTGATGTGAGACTTCTCGCCGCTGGTGTCTGGCGGCCTGGCAAGGACGGCTGCAACCCGATCCTGCAAGGCCTGATTCAAATCCTGGAGCTTCGCATTGAAACGCTTGGGCAGGATGCCCGCAGCCAGCTCCAACGAACGCTGGAGAGCACACGCAGGCGCAGCATTGATGCAGTTAGCCAGCACCATCTCCGACAAAGCACTACCAAGCTTCAAAGCAAGCGACGAGCGATTCGCACTGTACTCACTGAGAGACCGAACCACACTTATCTCCTTGTCGTCAGCCCACTTGAGCATGGAGACGTTGGAGACCAGGAACTCACATATGCGCTCGGATGTGGGCGTCGTGGCAATGAACGTCTCGAAACGTCTGATCATCGCCGCCCATGCCGAGTCGTTGCCGTCCGAGGTGAGAAACGCGAGCTCCCCCTTGAACGACCACTTGTTCAAGGCTTCCTCCAAGCCGCTGCACTTGTCCAAGAACTGCTGGATTTCTTCCTCCACGTCGGGCTTGGTGAGGTCGCGGAGCGCAAGCCTCCACACCCTGATCAGCTCATTCTCATGCTTCCCGAACGACTCCAGCTCGCGAACGTCGTTCGTGACGGTGATCGCGTCCATGAGGGCGGTCGTCAATTCGATCATGCCGATCTGTCTGCCGTCTTTGACCCAGCCGAACGATCTCTCCAGGGCTTTCATGCTCCGTGCTGACACCAAGAGCGCCTTCACATCATCAGGCACTTTGCTCTCGAACTCCTTCGCAACGGACAAGAATGCGTCAGAACAGAACGGCGAGTGCACGACGCGTCGGACGTAGGACATCAAGGGGGTGGCCACCTGGACTCCAGCCCAAGCGTGGTTCAGTTTGTGCAAGAAGGTCATGAAGCTGTCGCCCAAGATGTCGTTCACCTCCTGGTCAGCAGCTGGCTTCAGGCCCGAGTCCATCAAGTGAGCCTTCACCCACTCCCTGAGCCCCGTCGCGCAGTCCTCCGTGACCGTGGAAGTCGCCATCAGCAGACTCTTGACGTGGTGCGTGAGGATCATCTTCTTGCGTGTGCTCTGGAGGGCCTGGGACTTCGGCGCGAAGTGGGCGCAGTACTCCAAGACGTTTCCAACCCAGTAGAGCTCGTCCCACGTGTCATCCTCAACCTCGCAGTGCAGGGCGCGTGATAGTTTCCCCTCGAGCTGACAAACTATCACGTCAGTCGCATGACCTCCATCCCCTCCCTCCCGCCCGAACCCCATCGAAATTCCAGGCCGCCCGATTAGGGTGGAAGAGGGGGGTGCAGAGTCGAGTCGGACCGAGGACCCCATCGGAAAGACCAGCGGTCAGCCGACAGTCGACCTCAAGACCAGATTTAGCGGCCCCCTTGGGGGGCCCATCCCTTCAGGACGGGGGGGGGGGGAGCAGCGACGTGAATAGGTTGGCAGCTCGCCTGGAGATCCTCCACGCTGAACCAGCTCATCAACGTATTGCACATGAACGCGTTCACCACCTTGGCCATGTTCATGTTCTCCGCGTAGACCGTATCCTCGAAGTCACTCGGGTCTGCATTCACGATGCACGTGGCGCAAAATTTCATTGAGATATCTTGCTGCTCCTCCTGGCAAACGTCCACGACGGCGTTGTAGGCATCCTCGCTCTTGCCGCTGGGCTCCTTCAAGCCCGTGGCGATACTCAAGACCTTCTCCTTGAACTGGCTGGCAGCCGCCGCAGCCTCCTTCACGCTATCTGCATTGGCGAGGTTGCCATCTGAGGCGAGCAGCTCGACCAGGTGATCCCACGCGATTTTCATGACGTTGCTGTTCGAGAGTGCCCTCACCCCTGCAGCGGTAGCTAGATTCCGTACACGCGTCGAAACTGCGTCGATCTTGGAGAGCATCATACTGGACATCTTGCGCAAAGCCCCTGCCACAGGCTTCGCCTCACGAATGCACGTCAACACGTCGCCTGCGACGACGAGAGCGGACACGTCCATGTAGGGCTGCTCGAAGAGACTGGCCTTCGTGAAAGGTCCCCGCGCGTCGTCACACACGCTGAAGTCGAAAGGCTGGAACTCCTTGCCCAAGTACTCCTTGACGTCGGCAATCCTCTTCAGCACCGTCGCCTCGCTCGGACTCTCGATGACGATTCGCTCCACCGTGTCGGTCACAAGGCCAGCCTGAGTTCGCACCGCCAGCGAATCCGCCATGATGGCGCCAGCCTTGCACGACGCGGTCTCCCACAGCAGCCCGAGGCACAGAGTCTCGACGCGAGGCCACTCAACTGGTTGAGAATCGCCCTCGGGAGCAGGAGCTCGGGGGCACATGGCAAACTTGATCACGAGTGGCGGTTCGCTCGTCGCTAGCGTGAAGCAGGCTTGCTGGATGATCTGCGACCTTAAGCTCACAGAACAACCGACCATAACCTGGTGCTCCGCGCTGGTGATGGTCCGCTTTGCCACGTCCACGGTCTTGCCCCTGATCTCCTCGAAGAAGATACGCCTGGCCGAGAACTCCTTGATCACCATCCCTGCTTGTTCCGACTTCGCTGAGCAATCATCGTCCCCAGTGAACCTGGCCATCTCGCGGGCGGATTTGGCCAATGCGTTGACGGTGGCATCGTGGATCCTGCTCTTCGGGCGCTGCGTCCACTCCTTCTCTGCCGAATGGTGCTCACGAGCCCTCTCCATGACCTTCTCAAACCTCTGAGTGGCGGACTCCTGCGGCGTGGGCTTGCCCTTCTTGCGAGCAGCGGCGCTGCCGACCTAAGGGCCAGCCGAAACTCACCCTGCCCTGGAACGGGGGGGGGGCATAGCGGTCCTCCGACATCTTCTTCTCTCCCTCATCCCTCATCCTCATTCGCTTCGTCGGGGGCGGCATGAATGCGCGTGCATCTCCACGCTGATCTATGGCAAGGGTCGGGCCGTCGAGAGGCCCACCCCTTCCCTTGGCAAGACCAGCACGGAAACCTCAACACGCAGTCATCCCGCCCCTGGAAGGAAGAGGGGAGGGAATCCGACAAGCGGAGGACGAGAAGACGACGGAAGACCACCACACCCCCTCACCCTACTCCCACAGGTAGTTGAGGTTTCGCCAGGCTTGTGCCTCAGGGCGCCCGCTGCGTGGAGGGCGGCGGCAGTCGCCGTCGGACTCGCCATCCTCATCGATCGGCTCGACGGTGTTGCTCGGGGGCAAGCTGCACTTCGAGCGCGGCGTCGCCGCCGCCGACGCAGCCCGGCCTCCAGCGGCACCTCCACCGCTGCAGATTGCAGACGCAGCCTCCCCCTCCTCTGAGTCCTCCTCGTCCTGGAGCTGGGCGCGCTGGTCGCCGTCGTCGGAACTCACGTCGCTGAGCATC